AAATATTTTACGGATACTTTTTTTAACGTTAATATTAATTTAATATGAAAATTAAACCTATCAGACCTTGTTTTCGGACCATCGGACGTACATTGGATAATTTACGATTGCATCAGCCCCCGTGAAAGTGATGAACGCCGATTATGATTTATACTTTCCATTCTCTCGTCGCAATAATATAACGTTTAAACAGCCACTAGTCTATACGTGGATTAGAAATGTACATATATTATCATGTAGCGATTGTTATTACATAGTATGGCTATTATTTATTATTATTGGTTAAATTGGTTCTATAGAAATAAAGACTATATAACATATTACATATTCTTATGGTTATCGTTTAGACAGTGACTATAATACGTTGCATCTCCCTAGGTTTTGTTAATTGCATTAATATTAAAAATTGTTTTTAACAATTTGTCCGGACTTTGTCTGAGTATATCTTATAATATAATATATTCAATATTTTTTATTAGTGTATAAGTAAATAATATTCAGCAAAAAAAAAAAAAAATTRAATTATATACAAGGCAAACCGTGAAAACATTCTTAATGATTTTMTGAAGCTCTGAGATACACTTATAAAATACAATCTATACTTATATATGGGTATACGAATTACTAATTACATAAGTACAGTCATAACATTGTCCGAAAGATATAACAAATGACTGGCTTATGCCCTTACCATACACGTCAAACTTTCAATTATTGCGTTTAATATTTTACTTATATAGTTGCCAATTTCGTTTGAGTATCACACGATATGATACTCATCCCGAGTTAATAAAGGCGTTAATTATGAGATCAGTAAAATTGGTAGGGTCAATTTGTTAACAATGATTTTGGAATTTAACAAAACCAATAGATTTCTACCGAACTATTTTTCAGTCGTTTTTTAACTGTCACTGGTATTATATATTTTTATTTCAATTAATTTCAAACAGGTACTATTTTATATGAATATACCATAGTCTACACTAAACAAGTTTTCGATAGAAATTATAAAACTGCTAAAATTCGTAAAAACATAGGCCTTGTAGAATTTTGTGATCACAAAGCAATACTTATAATTGGTAAGGTTTAATTCAAACTGTTTATTATGTTACACATCAAAAAATTATTTTTAAATTGATTTTGGTATTGATTTTGAAGTATAAATAGCCAGCCAATGAAATATTGACATTAAAATATATTTCTCTATTTCCTATCATTTAAATAATGATATAATATGATTTAAATTTATTATAACATAATTAATTTTTATAATATACGAGTAATTAATAGAGTATTAAAATTGCTTTTTCGAAAATAGTCAATATTTTTTTTTACTAGCTTTATTAGCTTTCAATGTGTACATTATTATAGCTCATCGATAGTGCTTATATATTAAACTAAACTTTGTCAATAACTAAAATATAAGTGAATCAATTGAATTTTATTAAAAATAATTACTGAAATACCTATAACTACCTATACGTATGCACATAAACTGTAAACACGTATACGCTATTTATCGTTAAAATATTTTTTAGTTGATAATGCATATTATTTTTATTTTGTAACACATTCTATTGAAATCGGAGAGTAAATAAACATTACGGTTTCTCTTGATTTAAAACAAACATAAAAACATATATCTTAGACAAATAAACAAATGATGACCACAGTTTAAATAACATAACTTAAGACATAGTTGTCACCAGAAAACCACACTTATTCATGTATATAAACAAATATGTTACGGCTATTTAGTGTTGTCAATTTTCTCGSCGTGTCTTAAATCRTTTTTGTAATCAGTTTAGAAAGTTATTATGAGCCGTATTCTAACTCTACTAAAATATTTGATGAAAATAAATCAAAAGTTTGACTTAACAAGATTATAACAATTTAAAAATAGGTATATAAATAAATAATAATGAAGTATAATTTATTCGTTTTCTTTCCCTTCGTATTGATTAACACTGCACTGTTGATCCGTTAAACTTGAATTAATTTTCCTTCATTTCTATATAATATATAACCAACAATGTTTTCTACTACGCACTCAATTACTACACTAATTTTTACAACGTGATAATTGATCGCTTAAGAAATTCATTACGAGTTTTCTTAGGGAAATATTTTTAATTTTACAATGGCAGCAAATAATAATATTTTATTTTGATCCTTAGTCAAGCATACCCAGAGTTTAAATCTAACTAAATAAATACGATTCGTTTTGTACCTRTATGGGTATAAAAGATCTTTATAATATAAAACTAAATCAACTAAAACAATATTGACACTCATAAATCGGAAGTTTAGAAATTTTTTATTTTTGTTTGTTTTTATAAACAATATAAACCAACACACAATTATTAACATCACAGATTCAATGAAAGTACCGTCAATACGAGTTTCTCGTTCAAGGTGGTCCGACTGGTTTTTTTTCGCGTCTATTCAGGGCGTCATAAATTTATATATTATTGTCTCCACATAGTTTTACTTTCTTTTAAGGTCTGAACAGAATTTAAGACTAAATTATAATGCGTAATGYGYATGGTTATGAGGTTCCATCAATTAATGATGTATTTCAATGCATTCAATAAACCTACATCTGGACACTGAAACAGTGAAATGWAATACTTTGATTTTTTTCATGTAATACCTATTACTGTGTAAATTATATAAAGAATTTTTAATAGACTSGCTTTATGWACATTTATCTATGAATATCATTATTCACTATATAAGTTAATCCAACTATGAAAATTATATACCTATTTGGTTAGCTTTAAATTTAAAGGGMTTTTGATTATTAATATTTCAATAATTTAAATTGAAACGTATTTTTTATCAATTAAGATCAATTAAAATGATTRATGAATCATGGTATAACAGATATGTGTGGATCTCAACGTGAAAATGTATTAACAAGTAAATTTTTAGAAATTAATTTTCACAAAATATATGGGTGCTAAACTGCTAACATATTTCTCTTAAGTAATACGGTATTTTTATATATAGGTAATAGAAATAGAAATAGGCCTGATTGACTCAGAACATTACTCAACACAGTCAACATTTCCTTAACCAGCTTATGAGCCTTGAGATATTATGTTAATGTACCTACAATATTGTACAAATAAATTAATGCGGTTATAAACAATAAGCGTCCGAACTTTCTCACAATGAATCATGAATTTTTACAGTGCAATTCATAAATTGGCAGTTGTATTGCCGAATTTWTTTAAAATATAACTTTTTGCGCTTATAAAACAGTGTAAAYAATTAATATTAACGATAATAATATGTCAAATTGTTATAAGAGTATAATATTATCAATTTTTTTTATTTTTWATTTCAACGTTCTCGTAATTCGATCCTATTAATTATATCATAAAATTTTGTATAAAATTTAAAAACACTAAATACATTTCTATCTTAAAATTTATAAACCATTACTATACTATAAGTTATAGTATCAGACATCGAAACATTCTTAGRATAAGGTATGGTAATAATAGTAGAAACAMACCAAGGTCTGGCCGTCTAGGCGTTCGCGTGATATCGCGTTGTACCTTTGTCATAACTCAAATCGGTATTATGTATTAGGTAGCCATGTGACACTCACTTTTAGCCGCCCAAAATGATCCTCGGCGCAGTGCTTCCAGGTAAGTTTTCATGACGTCCCGACACTGGACAGACAGCATGGACGCGGCCGGAAGTTCGACGGGATTCCACCGGTGAGGGTTATACACGTTCGATAACCATTCTAAGTCGGAAATGTAGGATCCGCTGTCGATCGCAGTGTCATTGTTCACAGCCGCTGCTGCCGTTCCAGTGCCCGAACCCGTCGCCGCGGCCATCATCATCACCATGGCCGACATTGCGTCCACCGCCTTGGCCGTCCTGTGCACTTTCTGTATGTTGGTGGCTCCTGGCTTGCCGGTTAAAGTGCGRCCGGCCGACGACGTGTATGCTGCCGACATGTCTTGGGACGACGGCGGCCGGGCGGTCAGCTCGTCCACCCCCAAAGACGTGTCTTCAGAAAACATCATCGCTGCCGCGTCCGAATCTTGACCGGCCGCTAATACGAAACAACACGTAACCGCCGTTGCCACTACCGCCACTACCGCCGACATCGCTGATGCTGTTTTGGCCATCTTTTCGATGGTTGCGTACCGGACACCCGAACGCTTCTGCAAACCAACTGACTCAACTTTGACGTCGTCGTGGTCGTCACGTGTTCCTCYGCTCCCACCCTAAAACTCCGTCGTCGTCGTCGTTGCAATACACGTTCGATCTTCCCGTGCGTATGATKGTGATGGAAGTGGCAGTGGTASTGACCGTAGTGGTCGTGGTGGTGCATGCAGGCCCGACACGGATGACGAACACCTTTCACCTATTAATCCGCGAGCGCAAAAGTGAAAATACTGGACGACCGGTTATTCGATGGTCAAAACAAAAAATTTACCATTTTATTCAAACCCTTTTAGAAAATAGTATATACTCAGGTAATTATAGTATAAGTAATATACTATATATAGTCTAATTGGTAGAATATTCGTTTTAGTGTGATTGCATGTGTATGCCATGCCACAATCCATATATTTATGTAATTCTAACTTTATATGTATATCATAGATTAGTAAAAAATTGAGATAAATAAATTGTAAATAGTTCAATTAAARAATTGGAGGCAATTATTTATTAGTAATTTTATACTACTTTTTCTAACCCTCATTTAACCCATCTAGTTTATATTGGCAGTAAGAAACCGTTAAGGTTTTAAATAAACAATGGTCTAAAAACAATATTATATTAAAAAATCTAGATTTCAGACCATTATTTTTTTTAAATCTTAACAGTTACCTATACAGATTTCTAAGAAGATGAACTGGTTGGGTTGTACTTATCTATATAATATTATCTAAATAAAATCAAAAAACAGCACTTTTTAAAAGTATTTTATTATTRTATTCATTTATTTATTTTATGAATKTATGGGTAGTAAATCACAATACATTACAGATTTTAGGATATTGATATATTGTACATAGTAAAAAAGTAAAATATAGAAAAGAAATAATAAAAGATAAAATAATAGTTCACACACAAATATATAATCATTACATTTTATAAACATAAATAAGAAGAGAAGAGAGATCCGCATTGGCACGAGACATTAACCACCTAATACAATGTCACAATTAGAAAATAATTTCAGATTTTCGGGGGTTACATCGCTTCGATATTTATTTATAGTTACATATTATATAAGTGATGACATTCTGGCAGCCAGAAACAATACTAAAAACCAAGATCTCGGGGTGGAAGTGTTATTATAACCACCTAAGCTCCCGCCCCCCCTCGGTTGCGTCATTAGCATAATAAGCGTATTGATACTCATTCTTTTGGTGGTATAGTAGAATGTGGAATCAAAATAAGAAGGAAACGACCGTTTTAGTACACTGAAGAATCTTAAAAGTTAAAACATAGCAAAGAGATAAGCTAGAGAGGAAAAATCCACTTAATTAATCAAGAGGCCTTTAATTAAATGTATACCAGTTAAATCTCTACATTCAGTCAATTATGTTAAATTAAGTTTATCAGACACAGTGACAGTAGTATAATCATATGGTTCATATGGGATCTACAATAGTCAATAGATGACTGGCGAACTGCGATAATCTTCGCAGTATACACTTTCAAACTGCAACGAGTCTCCTGCAGTATGAGGATCCCACACAGCCGCTACCATACACTCGAGGTTTAGACGTACTACTGTACTAGTAARTGCATATTATAAAGTGCCTTAATAGACATTCCAAAATGGGAATCCTTAAGCAATTTATTCATTACAATACAAACCCTAGGATTTTAAAAAATGTACAATACCTAAACATTATTAATGTAGGAACATAAGTTATGGCAATAGTTGAATTTAAATCCTTGGTCCACGACACAATCATCTGATCTGCAACCTGCATAAAAGATGATTTACTGTGACGCTAAGAGAAAACTATTAAAGAACGAGTTCTATTAAAAGTAATCTAGACTAATATTTATTTGGTTCCTCCATTCTACCCGGACCAATTAGTAAAACTACCTAGTTAAATCATCTGGCAGTTTTAGACAATCGTTAATTGTTTAAGCATGAGCCAAGAAAATAATTATAAAAGAATGTTTACCATTTGTATATTGTTGTGTGATGATACGATTTACATTGTTTCCAATGACATTTAGAGTAATTGATTCAAAAAATCATTCACACCACATTTGTATGTATGTAGGTATCTATTTATTAATAGGTAGTAGCCGTAGATACTACCTAGTACCTACCATGTAACACTGATCAGTGATCAATAGGTAGGTAATATTCTGTTACACAATATCATCATAAATGAGTGCTATACGCAAAAACAAAAATTMGAAAAACTTTGATAAAGGCAAATAAAATTATTTTTTAGTTTATTTTGTCTGTATATCTATAAAAAGATTACTACTCGCACACAAATACATATTATATAAGACACCTCGCCAATCATTTTTTCATAACATAATTAACATCTTATGCGTTATGCTTATAAATTATTAAGCAGTTAATACACAATTATTTTGTAATAGGTATGCTGTGGCGGCGGTGCTATGTGCAAAATGTGCATATTGTACAAAATACTTGTATTGATTGAATGGATTGAATATTTTAGATCCGATTAACGCAATTATTAATGCATTGATTTTACAATATGTGTGTTTGTCTGTCRTCTACACTTTTGGGACTATAAAAATACTTGGATTTTCTTCAACGGCATTTTTTCAGGAATCTATAGTTGAAGTGCCAAAAGCAAAAAAAAATACATTAGTTTATAAAAGTATTAGGAAAATGCAACAAAAACTTTAAAGAAACTGATATTCAAAATTGCAAAACCAGTATTTGAAAAATCAATTTTATATTTTTAGTGTAATTGTAACAAAATAACCRTAGATGATTACCGATTACTRTTACAAACCTAGATGGCGCTATAATATATATATATATATCAAGATTTTTATCACAAGTTTAGTATGCTTATCACCATGTGCTATCTCAAGTCTAGCCGCGGATTTACTGTTTACATCCATAACAGTCAAATAAGTAAACAATATCCAAATTATCATCCCGGATACATTCGACAATCGAGTATCGACATTCCGACGTTGTACGTATTGCTTTTAGTATGAAGTGTTTTTATTTTTTTAATGATGACTTTTATTTTGTACTGACACACGACTAGTGAATCTAATGTTTTCTGTGCATCTGCAGTTTAGCAATAATAACTAGCAGTTCGTAATAGTTGTAGGTCAATCTAATTTTATGCTTGTTAGGACTTGTCTCATACCTAATTAACAGCACATATGCTCTTAAATCGCTTTTACCCGCCACATTGTTTTGACAGAAAAATATAATTTTGACACAGTAGCAATTATGGATTCAGAAGTGGATTCTGCTTGGATATGTACACAAGCCATTGTAAATACTGATAGTCGATCAGACAATGAACAAGAAAAAATTAACAATGTAAGTACCTGCTTCATACATATTTCAATTATTTTTAATGGTAGGAAGGGAGGGATAATAGAAGACAATATATTGAATAAACAGATTAAGATTAACAGACTAACAAGAAGATAATTGATACAATTTTTTTTTTATCTTCATTTATCAAAAAAAAAAAAAAAATCAAATAGGATGTGATTAGTCATATATTATACTGCCTACTCGGTGTTGAATGATATAATTAATATACTTAAATGAATTATAAAATTATGCATAATTTAATAGATCCTATGATCAATAGGAAATAATATAAGGAATCAATATAAACCTATACTTTTAGGCAAAAATTGGGAAGCTTTAGGGGCTAAGCCCCTGAAACATTTTCTACATTTTTTTAAGGTTGTTCAATAGGTATTATTAATTATTATAGTGGTACTTAAGCCCCCCCCCCAAATCTCAAACACTATTTGCACCTATGCCTATAATAAACTAACTTAATAACTTAAATACAATATCATTTACTCATCATTATTTTTAATTAGTATGGATGTATTGTCTTGAATGATATGATTGACAATGGACGTTATATTCTAAAAGAAGGTGATAATACAATTGGAAGACATCCTTTAAATGATATATACATTGAACATCCGGTAAGAATAATTTTATTTTCGATCTCRATCAATTGCCTCTTGTTTGTTTTTAGGGATAGTGGACAATTCTCACTTATAATTAATTATTATGAATATCATGCAGAATAATGTTATGCTATTTTATGCTTTAAGTATTAAACATTACATGGATTTTGATATTGAACAAGATACCTGTGTTAACATAAGATTTTACAAACAATGTTTCCCAATTTTTTTCTAAAAATGAATAACTAGTTGTTTAATATACATAAATGTTTATCATAATATTTGATAATTTAAATATTTGTACATTTTTCAAGTCTAATTTTGGTAAATGAATGTTCATATTTATTTAAAAGTTATTAATAAAATCTAAATAAGACAATTCAATATAGAAATCTAACAATTTATTTTCAAAATCTATGTATTGTAATAAAGCTAGATTAATCTGTATTCAAGATGTCGGAAAGAAAATATGTTTTTACTTTTTGTATGAATAACAGTGAGTTATAATTCCCATCAAGTTATACTCAAAAATTCCTTCAAGTGGGTGGCAATTGATCAATTA